GTAAAATCTTTGAAATTGTTGCATGTTGCATTTATATTTTTGTTCAGTGTATATAAACGGTTTAAACGCCCATCCTCCTCTCTTCTCTCTCTCTCTCTGTTTACCATATGTAAATGCTTGTATGAAGCTGCAGGAGTAGGGCTGAAAGAGGAAAGTTAAAGAGGTCAGGAGGAGCAGAGTGTGTCTGAAAGAGATGAAATTTTCCCTCCAGCTCCCACAACACAACAGAATCGAGGAGAGCACACTCAGACACACACACAGATACTCACACACACAGACATACACACACACACAGACAGAGCAGAACTTGGGTTGTGTGTTGTGTATGACCAAGGCCACCGTGCACAAAGGGGACGGCTGCTCAACCCGCCCTGGATGGGAGGCTGCAGCTGGAGGAAGAAAGTCCTTGAAAATGGTGTGTGTTTGTGTGCGTGCGTGCATTTCCACGCTTGCTTATGTGCAGTATTTTGCTTGTTGTGCTGTGTAACAATGTGTACCACCTTTACTGTAAATACATTGGTATTAGGGACAAATCGTAAAATGTTTCAAGAGCTTTGTTCCTATTTTGTAGTCCAGTGAGTAGACAGTTACCTAATTCCTCTATCACATCCAATGCTTTTGTTTGGCCTATGGCATCCTGCCCAGTTGTGTACGATTGTTTTTTAAAGATAAAGTTTATTTTAAACAGAATGTATCATTGAAAGAGATTGCATTCGGCCATCAGTGCCTCTTCAAGAAAAATGTGTTTTACCTTTATTTAACTAGGCAAGTCAGTTAAGAACAAATTCTTATTTACAATGACGGCCTACACTGGCCAAATTGTGCGCCGCCCTATGGGACTCCCAATCACGGCCGGTTGTGATACAGCCTGGAATCGAACCAGGGGGTCTGTAGTGACACCTCAAGCACTGAGATGCAGTGCCTTAGACCGCTGTGCCACTCGGGAGCCCAAATGTTGGTGCATGCATGACCAACACGCTCTCACAGTCTCACTACAGAATTAGATGTTCATCCATGTCCTCCAAATGTCAAATTTCGAAGTTGCTCCAAATGTCACATTTCGAAGTGTTTTTATTGCTCCCGCTGCACTGTATCATTCCATTTCTCCAAACATCACATTTCGAATTTAAGGGTTAAGTTTAGGCACTCATTCCGAATGGTTTAATTAAGGGTTAAGGTTTGGGATAGGGTTAAAACCAAATATAAAAAACCAGTGTCCACGACTGGGATTCAACACACAACCTTCTGATCCAGAGTCATGGGATTATGCCCCACAACACCCTAGCAAAACCCAAGCCTACATGATGGTAATAGCGCTCACTGTTGCCCCTAGTGGCCGGGTTTGAAGGCATTTCCCGACGTCCTCAGGACATGGATAGATTCCGATTTCGATGTCAATCTTGAACGACCTAGCTGTGCATGACGCCTCACCAGATTCAGAGCATGACGCCTCACCCGATTCAGAGTTGTAAGAAAGTTTTCTGGTGTTGCACAAGATGTACAACACATCAATCATCATACCACACCTGGACAATCATAATAGAATAGCATAATAACAGAGCACGCCCCTATAAATTGTTTACTTTTGTCAAGTCATTACAACACCTAATCACTTGTTGATAATCTGCATATTGTCATAAAAAGATATCATCCATCCCAACGCGTTTGATTGATGGAGAAAAAAACTATTAATTTATAGATTCATATAGGTGACTATACAGACCTATTCAGAATCAATGCTCACTATTTTTAGAACTGCTAAACAAGAAATCGAATGGCACACGTGTCAACGGCCCCATTTGTAATTTAGCATGTATACTTTGAACCACAACCCCATTTATAAGACAACAGAGTTTCAAATAGTAGCTATTTAATAGGTTCATACATTTACTAGTTCCTGTATATTGTCTGCAATGTGTTTTGTTTATCTGTTGCATGGGTGCTGTCTGAGGTGAATTCAATTAGGCTAGCAAGAGCGAAGAAGAACTAAAATCCGCGACCCCGCGGCGGGTTGTCGGGTTTCAGCACCTTGGACACTTCCTCTCTCTCCAGGATTTCCTAAACCTAGCGCACTGGCTCTGCTAGGCATGGCGCGGGACTGTTTGGCTTGCAGGGGAGAGAGATCGAGAGAGACAGAACGGTACGTGGAGGGATAAAGGAGAGAACACAGCTCTCTACACAATCAAATGTGTCCCTATACAATGACATGTCTGGCGCAAACAAGAGGCGAAAGAGAAGCTGTGGCAAGACTTCTCTTTACCCAACATGTTCTCTTTCCCACGTACAGATAACACTTTTCCCACAAAATAAATTATGTTATCTAAAAGCACCGTTTGTATTATTATTTGGATAGGCCTATAGCCTACGCCTACGCCTGTCTTCACACACCTTATCATATACGTGAATACCTGGTTGGATTAATAGGCTATCATCAAAGGCCTAAAGGAAAATATGAGGCAGATACAAACCCATCTTGACTACTCAACAGTTGGCAGGTTGAACGAGCAATTTAACCCTTTCAGAAGTGTAAATTGAGGTGCCTGTGTCGTCTACAATTTGCACCGTATGTTCTTGTTGTTGACAGGGCACTGGAGAGTCGGCCCATAGGTTGGTAACATTCGAACATAAATGTTTAGGAGTTCTTAAACGGAGAGTCAAGAAAACAAGACTCGGTGAGAAAAAATAAATAGCAAGCCCCAATAGCTTTGGGATTAAGACCGTGAGTGGGACCAAGCTTTGCTGCCACTGTCGCCTGCCAAGAGCGGCGGGGGTCCCCTCGGCGGCCCGGGCTCTGCCTTTCTCTCCCAACAAGCTGAACCGCCTCCCCCCGGCTACAGAAATTACTGCTTTATTATCATGTAGAGTCACCACTTAATACTAACCAGCACCACGGAAAACATTTCACATTCTTCAATCTACAGATGGAGATGGATGGATAATCATGCATTCACGCGCTACAACGTCACTTTGGCTATCATGTTGTTTTTGTTGGCTCAATTTTAGGTTAGGTAATAACATGACAGCAAAATGGTGAGGAGGAGGATATAATAATAATAATAATAATAAAACGCATAAAACTCATACAAACTCATACAAATATAATGACGGTACTTTCTTTTGCGTAAAAACAGAAATATTCGTAGTTTCTTGCCATAAAGCAGGCTATTTACACATTTATCATAGACAACTGGTTACTTTTCTTTGAATAATTGTTGAATTTACCTTAATTCACTAATTGCTTCAGATTAATTCTTAGACGAGTTATTTATGTACAGCAACAATGTGCGAATAAATTTATATTATTATGAATGCATAAAGTTTCCAATGTTGTTGTAATTGTTCATGTTGTTCTAGTTCTGATTTAAAACGTTATCTTAAATGAGAATACGCAATGGTTCAAAATTAACACCTATAGGGCTACTTAACCAACTCATTATACAAAACAACTGCTCAAACTTAGTTTTAAACCAGCCTCGCCTCTCCACTAACAACCATTAGCGTCTGCATGATGTTTGCACTGCCGCGACTAACTTAAATGATGATCTGGGTAAATATTGAAATTTCCCTCGATTGATGGCTGTACTCTGTTAAAGCGGCGGGCGACCAGGATCTCCCTATTGATGAGGCCTCCCTATCTTAATCCTGTGCATTTCCCTGTAAATAGCTTTCTGCATGAGAAAGGGCCTGCCTGGGTCCTCCTCCCCTCTCGTCCCCTCCACTCCACACACACACGCATACTGTAGAGAGTCAAATGATAGCCTAATGCAGGGAGGGTTTTGTAGCATTAACTCTTGTTCAGCTACTCCCATCTCCCATTGCATCCCATTCAGGGTAATTTAAGGCGGGTATCATGCCATGTTAGACGGCCCCCTTACTTCGTAGGCCGCTTTAAGGTGATGGCTGCAGGCATCAACTCCACTAGGTCATCTTGTCACAGACAGAAGACGAAGAAGAGGTGAAAAGAAGAAAGAAAATGGAAGATGATCCGCAGGTTTTTGTTCTGTGCCTTGGTGTCATCAGAAGTTTAATTTAGATTAAATTGAAACAATCAACGCTTTAATGTCTAATTGGCCTAATTGTATCAGAGAAAGATCTTGCTGATTGGTGATATTAGACAAAAAGCACGTCTGTTTCTTATAGGGATTGATAGTGGAGCTACAGCAGACAAATAGAAAATTGAAGATTATAGACCTGTTTACGCCGTTTAGGTCCATTCTGTAACGAGGAAGTAACAAAACGAGAGTGACCACGATTTTGCAAAAGTCCTCAAAAAATATCGTGTCCCTCTCAGCAAAATGAAAGTTTATTAGCCTATTTATGCTAGCATGGTTGAAGGTTTATGTCGACCTCAAGGTAGGCTACCGACCATTATTTAAAGGGGTAACCATGACAACAGAGTCCTGATTGGCCACCCAGGCACGGGGATTAAAGGAGAGCGTCACACAATTTGAATACGGATGTGCCTCGCGCCAGCACAGCCGGACACAGTGATGCGAAAAGTGTCGACGTGAGGTGAGAGGAGGCGAAGAAGTGGAACCTAAAAACAAAAGATGACAGAATAATAAAAGAAAGTGCCATTTACAACAACAACAAAATAATAACTTTGCTACAGCCCATGTAAGGTATTCTCTACTCCCGGGAAAAACAGGCTTTCCATGTGACAATTTTTACGCAGCCCGTCAATGAAGAGGAATAGGTGCTTTTTAAATTCACCTTTCTATCTTCTGGATTCCGGATTGTGACAAGTGCCAGGACAGGACAGGGGCGCCCAGAACCAGAAGTACAGAAGAGGAAGTTCGGGGAGTGTTCGCCTAAAGCCTGCCTTTAAACGGTAGGGGATAGGGTCTTCTCACCACCCACCCACCTGACGGAACATTCGCGTCTGCTTTGTCCCAAATCCCGGAGCCAAGACGTTGCTGCGCAGAGAGCCGTGTGGCCCCAGACCCAGCACCGGAGCCTGCGTGGGAAGGTCGGCTCTCGGTGTCCTCCAGACCGGCGGGATGATGGTCCACTGCGCGGGGTGCGACAGGCCCATCCTGGACCGGTTCCTGCTTAACGTGTTGGACCGAGCCTGGCACGCCAAATGCGTCCAGTGCTGCGAGTGCAACTGTAATCTGACAGAGAAGTGCTTCTCCCGGGATGGGAAGCTCTATTGTAAAATTGACTTTTTCAGGTAAGGATTCAGATTGGGGATTCAGGCGAAAAGCAGGGCTTGCCAAAAACTCAGTAAGGACAATTATAAGCATCCTGCTTCTCAAGATTGTCATTCTGGATTTTGTTTTTTTGTTTTTTGTTCGTCAATGGATTTGTTTCAAATCAAATGCTGAAATGGATTTCATGTCACAATGCTCAAAATAGCTTTCGTTTTAGCGTCACACATAATTAACCGGATATTATTTTGTAGGCCTACACATTGTTTTGTGGAAATGGATATGGTTTACCAAGGCCTATTTCACAGGATGTATTTCACCTATAGGCGAGATAGCATACATATAAGTTACTTGAATTGTTTAAGAATGTCACTTCAAAATAATAATATTTCTATCCTATAGGCTACAGAAGTAATATTGCAGCAATGGCACTTTGGCATCTTGGCATTCAGTGTCACATTGGTTTTGCAACAAAAAATAATAGAATTATTAGGCCTATAAATTAATCATAGTTATAGATTCACTTTGAATATCACAACAATATTTAGCATTTTGACAGAACTATATAATAATTGCCTAATATGTCCACTTTATCACTCTTTGTCTTCACGAAGTGTGTTTTTTTAAAGAAACAAAGTGTGTTTTCTGACAATACGAAGCATTAACTTAATTAATAATTGTTATTATGACACCAATAATATCACTTGTATTTATAAATCCATATTATGGAGTTGAATATTCTTAATATTATGTGGGCTTGAATATTCACTCTTCGCTTAATCCATTCATGGCGACATGGCAGTTTAAATCTATTTCTGAATCAGCTACATTTTCCTCACACCCGTTCTCTCTGTTTTCACTTTTGTTTGTTCCAATAGATTTTAAAACCTCTCCATTAGGCCTACACTAGCCGCTCAGTTCTTCAAAGTGTTCCATGTAATTAAGTGATAAGTATAGGCCCTTGTCTGTGTCCGCGCACACTCATAGCATCATACCAATTATTTATGTGTCAGCTTTTTCCCCTCTCCCCAAACAAATTGTTTAATGACATGTAAGGCCCAGTGTTTAAGCCTTTGTGATGGCATTGTTGCCCCCAAACGACCTTGACCATCATATTAGCCATCTCCCATCAAGCCGTGGATTTAAATGGTCCTACCATTAGCCAGGCGAAACAGTAATCACCCTAATGTGGCCATTTGTTGTGTAAGTAGAGCAGTGCCGGGGGAGGCTGGGCCCGGGCCGTGCATGTGAAAGGATACAGTGGAGCGATACCATTGCAAATGGATCTTGAGAGAGAGAGAGAGAGAGAGAGAGAGAGCGAGAGCGAGAGAGAGAGAGAAGAGAGCGAGAGAGAGAGATAGAGCGGAGAAGAGAGAGAGAGAGGAGAGAGAGAAGCGAGAGGAGAGAGAGCGACAGAGAGAGAGAGAGAGAGAGAGAGAGGTCGAGAGCGAGCGAGTAGGAGAGGAGAGAGAGAAGATAGAGAGAGAGGAGAGAAAGAGAGATTCCTTAGACTACATTAGTGTTCAAATAAAGGGGGCTTGCCTGAACCGCTCGTTCAGTCGTACCCTCATGCAACCGCTCACCCCCCCCACCCCCCCCCCCCCCCCACACACACACACCCCTCTCCAATACTCGTATTATAATTGAAATATTTTCAATTCATGCTTTTTTATTTGTCCTGGAGGCGACGCCATGTTGATGAGAGAGATTACCAAATCAGCATGAGAGGCGCATGACGAGGTTTCTGGCTCGTGATGAGGTGGATTAGGCCTATTTATTTCACATCCGAGAGAGAAACACAAAATAAAGCTTCCCATTCCCCATCACTTTATCTAGGCCTTCAGTAGCAAACATTTTCTTCCAATGCAACACAAGCATTTCCAACCGATTTATCGAGTTATCCCTGGAAATGTTGAGACTTTGAATTATGCTATTGTATTCATCTGTCTATCTAAATAATAAAAGTCTATTCACCAAGGTTTTTGCATGTGAAGAGGGTGAATGTGGATTAACAGGAGATTTGCACGGTAAAATGTTCTATTCGGTTTAATCCTCGGATATCTCCGTGGTCACAATGTGTTGACTGTCACTAGTGCGTTATCATGGGTTTATTAATATAACAACTCCATCAAAAATGTGAAAATTAAGGTTTTTCTCTTCAACGTTGAAAATCTGTCTGTCGCACATTGTAGGCTATTTTGTATCAAGTAGGATGTTAGATTTGAACGAAAATTATTTCGAAATAGACTACCTTTCCTTCAATGATGGCAAATATGTAATAGCCTGCAATAAAACAAATATATTAAATATGTTATTTATTATTTATCAAGATTATGGTTATTTTTGCTATTATTGTTATTATTAGGCCTATTATTATTATTATTATTATTATTAAAGGCTATCTGTAGTCATTGTTGTAACAGGCCTTTTATCTTGTTATGTAAAATCTCTTTACGACAGATTTTGTCAGATTTCGTGGTTGCAATTTTAAATTCAAGCTACTCGCAAAAACATTTGCATTGCCCACAGTTACATAATTCACTATAGGCTTATAATTTTCGTTTCTTTAATAAGACTCACGTTAGTTGGGCGCCCTCTACTTATTTCCTTAAGTTAAAACTGTCAAATTTCCCCCTCAAATTCAGAATGTTGTTTTTTATTTCAGTCTCAGCGTGATTTTACATCAACATCCATGTTGTCTCTGTCCTCTCGCTTTCTTTTCAGGAGGTTTGGGACGAAGTGCGCAGGATGCCTCCAAGGCATCTCTCCCAGCGATCTGGTGCGCAAGGCGCGCAGCAAGGTGTTCCATCTCAACTGCTTCACGTGCATGGTGTGCAACAAGCAGCTGTCCACGGGCGAGGAACTCTACATCATCGACGAAAATAAATTTGTGTGTAAAGAAGACTACCTGAGCTCAGGGGCGATCAAGGAAGTAAACTTGAATTCAGGTAATTATGGTTAAAGGCCCAGTGCACTCAAAAACGTGATTTTCCTGTGTTCCACACTATGAGGTAGGAATATTGTGTAATAGTGTAAATGATAATAATGCCCATTTAGTGGAAGAGCTGTTTGAAAATAAATTTCAGCCTGTTTTGGTGGGATGGAGTTTTGGCCTGCCTGGTGATATCACCAGGTGGTAAATTAGTTAATAGAGGAATAAGAACGAGAGTTCCAAACCTCTCTGACAATAACAGCTATTTTTCCATTTTCTCCTCCCCACTCAGACCACTCTCAGACAGTCCTATCAGAATTCTTGCTTGAGAAGAATAGCTAAGAATCTATTTTTGTTTCTTTTTTACCATTTTAATTTAAAACAATCACAGTAAGGTACCTAATTGTGACCCAGAAATTATTTGATATTGAGATAAAACGGCTGCATTGGACCTTTAAGGGTTTTAATAGTAAGTCTTCTTATATTACCGCATGGATACAAACATATAAATGTTCTGTTGGACTTGGAAAATGTCTATAGGCCTAGGGATGTCTGAATATAAGGGAGCTTTATCTTTATTGATTTACTGATTGTTTCAACGTGGGATCCCACGTTACCATACACTGGTACACATCCAATCAAATCAAAACCATAGACTGCTTATGGTGGAGAATTAAACGACTTGTTCATGATATGAAATGCCGCTACTGCATGGTTGTATTTGTTGGCATCCTAAAATAGGATAGGCCTATATCACATCTTTACATATCCTTTGCAAACTAAAATGCATGAATTCGAAAACCTATTATGTTACTCTGCATCTTAAAAAAAACAATATCCAGAGGCATAACCTATATAGCCACCGGCCGCCGTGGCCGTATTCAGTCCTATACGCCTCTGTCAGGAAATTCAGAACCATGGACAGGGTGCGTGTCTGAGCGTTAGCTCCGGCTCTGCATGATTTGGGGTAGGCTGTCGCCTGCGTCCAATCTCACCGCTGTTGAAGTAGTCTTATTTATGGATACGAATTTTTGATTCTATTCTATTTGATTCTATTCTGTACTTTCCTATTTTAGCTGCAGTGTCGTATAGCGCCTAACGTCACATTGTCAAACATGGGAAAGGGGGATACCTAGTCAGTTGTACAACTGACTGTATTAAACTGAAATGTGTCTTCCGCATTTAACCCAACCCCTCTGAATCAGAGAGGTGCGGGGAGCTGCCTTAATCGACATCCACGTCATCGGCTCCCGGGGAACAGTGGGTTAACTGCCTTGCTCAGGGGCAGAACTACAGATTTTTACCTTGTCAGCTCGGGGATTCAATCCAGCAACTTTTCGGTTACTGGACCAACGCTCCTACCCGCCAGGCTACCTGCCGCCCCATGTGTAGGCCTATATGGACAATTCGTCTGCAAGTAACTTCTCCTCTAATTAACTCTAAACATATATCTCTAAAATGTAATTAATCAATGGCGTTGTTATTGATAAGAAATAACGCTACATTTTAGTGTGTTTGGAACCTTTGATAGGCCTAAGTCAACAACAACAACTTTCAGAAAAGCGTATTGTGTTCGAGGAGTTGTTAGGCTCCCATCACTGGCACTAGATTTTGTCTTTAGATCAACAAGGTGACGAATAACATTTGTATCATCGAAAGACGTGACATTGATTTTGACCCCTCGTTGCGTGTCTGTTGCTTCAAATATGAACAACATATGACTACTGACATCATTGCTGGCTCAATGGCCCGCATATAGAGCATGTGTAGCCTAGTGTTTGATGATGTTCCCCAACAAAGCATATCCGCGTCGCTGAATGCATCTGACCATATAGCTAAGGCTTATCAATGCTATAATTTCCTGTTTGATAAATTGCTCAAACAGCCATCCCCTAGGACAATGGCATGCTGTTATCTT